TCAACATCACACATGTAGACAACGTCATACTAAAAGATATATTCACTTCATCATATTAAAAAGATATATCTATCTGTGTATATATATATATATCAACATCACACATGTAGACAACGTCATACTAAAAAGATATATTCACTTCATCATACTAAAAAGATATATATATATATATATATATATCAACATCACACATGTAGACAACATCATACTAAAAAGATACATTCACTTCATTATAGATAAGTCATTAAGCACGAAGAAACAATCAGAAATTACATAAGACTTTCAAGATAAGGAATCTTTAAGCTATTTGAAAGCAATCAAAGCTGAGATAGACATTTTTAGAAAAGAAATCAGGCGAAAGGAGTAATACTTGCGGGCGTGGAGAGCGGCGGGGCCGAGGTACGTCTCACGGTTCCATAGCTAGGACAGAAGGTTCTGCAGTAGGTCTCGCGGTTCCTTCGTGCCCTGGGAGATCTCCTTCCGCGGGTGGCCGGTGGGGCTTCATCGGGCAAAAGAAGGAAAGAGAAAGAAAGAAATCCGCTCAACATTGAGAAATTACTGCCATAGGTCAGTCAATTAAGCACCAAGGAAAAAAATCAGGTATCACATGAAAATTATTCAAGAAAAACACATATATAAATCTTGAAAGCGAACAAAGCAGAGCGAAAGATTTCTTTAGAAAAGAAATCAAATAAAAGAATGAGCAATACCTGGAGGGCATGCGGGCCCGAGGTAGGTCTCGCACTCGTACATCCCGACCAGCTCCGCGCCATCCTTCGAGATCCCCTTCCTTTGCCGGGCACCGGGGCTTCATCTTGATCCACAGCTTCACGCACTTGTAATGAACTGTGACTATGTCCACGACCGGATCAACGATCACCAACTGCCGCCGAGTACAGGATCTTGGTGAGGCGGGCGACGCCGTTGTAGCCATCGATGTTCGCCCACGCGGAAGGACCGGCGGAAAGAGACGGAGGGGTCCGTCTCGTTCCTGATCTTGATGAGGGCATCCAAGATCATGGAGCCGCATTCGCCGAGGTCGATCTTGCGGTTTGTCCGGCGGAGAAGGTCTCGATGCGCTTGGCCTTGGCGGATTCGGACTGAGATGAGAGAGATAGGACGTAGAGAAACCGGTAGAAATGGCCGGGGTGGGTGAGGGGGAGACCGCGCGCGGGAGTCGGAGACTCGGCGGAGGATACCCCTCGCTGTCGCGGCCACCAGAGGCGAGAGGATAACCAACTGCGAGCGAGAGGGAACGAAAGAAACGATAAAGTTTGTTATGGGGTAAGAAGATAAGTCGGTAACGACCAAGATCGATAACATTTACACCGACTAATTCCGTTACCCGTCTATTATACCTGGCTTGTCATTGGTTGATCTAAGATGTATAGAAACAAGACATCGGTTCTTACGATGTCGATAGCGATTGTGTACACGGCAGTAACACACCACCTGAGCCAGCCGTCTTCGATATGAAGTATCAGACGATCCTTCCGAGTAGTAGTGGGAGTCAGCAAAACGAAAAGTTCGAATTTTTTTCAGCAGAAAGGAAAAGTTAGAAATGTAAATGTCATCCATTCCAAGAGAACCATAAAAGGCAGAGACACCTTCGGTTGATGGGAAGCCGGGACCAACATATACATAATGAAGGACCCATTCGTCTTCTTCATGGCAATACCATAAGAATATGTCTCACTAATCCTGATATCTGAAATCTATCACCAATAAAAATACTACCAAAAGCAAATTTATAATAATAATAATAATTTAAAAAAACCCAACCCAACCCAACTAAAGAGGAACGATCCCAGTGAAGTCAAAAGGAGGCACGCGTGATTTCAATCCCACATTTCCAGGAATACGAACCGAAAACTGCATGAACCGGAAAACGAGAATCAAACCGCCGCCACGGGTTGAACAAACGCTCCAGCCGACAAGGGACGAAATGAAGTGAGGCATAGCTGCTATAACCTAAAAGGACGCCAGAAGCCAGCCGTGCTTTCTCGCGTGCTCCATGTACTGCTGGAACTTCTCCTCCACATTGGGAATATCAAGAGCTAAGTCATCGAGCCCATCCCTTACTCTTGAGAACCCTTTTGTCATTTGATTCATCGTGATCAACCATTCATCGAAACACACCTGCAGCAAACCCAACAGCCTCTCGTTCTTCTTCTCCATCGCCATAACCAATGCCTTCTTTACCACTTCATGATTGAAGAAAGGCATTCCCAAATCACGGATACACTGGCACGCTTCTCCCACATCTCCTCCGCTCTCATATTCCTCCAGAAGCTTTATTATCTTGTCCTTTGCATCCTCCACCGCCCAACCAGTGCCACCACCCCAGCATCTCAGAAGTCTCTCACCAGCATGCCGAGCAGATGCTAGCGAGCGAGCCATGTGAACAGTTTTACTCCCGCTGCAATTGCGTGGGAGCTTGCTGTTGATCTCCTCCAAGTTGAGCGGTGCTAAGACATCATCAATTACGGCCCTGGCCAGGAATAGTGCTAGCTCATTTGAGGCATCCAATATGTCCAATGCCGCATCCTCAGCTGACTCGAGCAGCATTATGAACCCATCAACAATGTCATCTCTTGAAAATATTTCCATGCTAAGCGCAGATAACAGAACAGATGCCATCTCCTTCTCCCTGTTCTTGCGGTCCATCGCAAGGGTTATTAGTCTCTTAATAAAAACAGGATTGTACTCCGGAGCACCTAAATCTTCGAGACTTCTAATAAGCTCTGGTATGTCGTCAGAGAGAAAGTATTCCCGTATTATCGTAACAGCTTCTTCTTTGTACTTCCTCAATTTATCATAACCTTCATCTCTGTCTTCGTCCTCTGCCTCTTTTGATTGGAGAAAAGAAGGGTCAAGCCATCCACCAGAAATCGCTTTAGGAACTATCATCTGGAATAAGGATTTTGCAGCAGGAATATCAAGAGACAGGTCATCGAGGCTCTCAGCAAGCCGTGAGAAACCCTTGGTCATCTGGCTAGGACTGATTAAAAGTTCTTCTGCTGCTTCTTTTAAAAGCTTCAATATAAGAGGCTCTGATGTTTGATTTTCCATTGCTTGCACCAGTGCCCGCTTCACAACCTCGTGATGGAAGAATGAAACTCCCAGCTCCCTTATGCACCTACAGGCCTCTGCAGTGTCTCCATTCTCTATATATTCTCTCAACAAATCTGAGATCTTCCTTTTGACCTCTTCGACAGTGAAATGAGTGGTGCCACCCCATCGACGCTCAACTAACTCTGCATGGTGGGGAGCCGAGAGATAACTTTTTTCAGCAGTTTGAACAACCTGAAGACCTTTAGAGGATTCAGAAAGTGTTTTCTTCGCTTTTGTGAGAAAGGCAGGAGGTAGGATGTCATCAACAACTGCACGGGCTATAAACAAAGCCAGCACATCAACAGCATTAAGTATGTCAAGCGCCAAATCGTCAACAGCCTCGAGTAACATGAGAAACCCTTGGCTGATCTGGGCCGAAGTAATTACATCGGCATACAGGGAGGATAGCAAAACAGATGCCATCTCTTTCTCTTTGTCATGCCGGTCCATCGCCATGGAAACAAGTTTCTTAACAAATAAGTGATGATACTGATCAGACCCAATATCTCCAAGATCCGTGGCTGCCACTTCTACCACACCAGTGCTGAAATACTCCTCTATGATTGTTGCCACAGATTTCTTATAGTCGTCTATAGGGTTAGAAAGAGTGGCACCCACGAGCTGATATGGTTCCTGAAATTGCAAACACAATGAATGTGTAATCCTCATCAAGTGTCTGTTTCTTGAGCTTTCCCTAATCATACATGATAACAAAAGAAGAAGGATATAACTACTGTACAAAAATACACAAGCACCTTCATATATGCATATGAAGTCATATGTATGTCTCCAGATATAAAAGAGTGAATGTGAGAGTCTCATACCTCTCCACTATCATAATTAGGATCATTTGGGTCAACGCGTGAATCAGGATCAGCATCCAAGAGCTTGCCCCATGTTCCTTTGCCACCAGCACCATCTAAATCACATACCCGGTGAAGGAACATTCCGATTTGTTAAGAAAAAGGCAATAATAAAGAACCAATGACAACAATATTAATAAATTTATACTTTTAGCTGAAATATTGAAACTAAATAGTATAGTAGCAACATGATGCAGTAGACATTGAGAATGTATATAATAAGTATAAACAAGACTAAGAACTGCTTGTCCTTTAAACTACTTAGAAAACAAATCAAATTGAGTCCATGAATTTTTTTTTTTTTAAAATCAATTGTTTCTATAATGTCATAATTATGGTATTAGTAAATGCTGATTGTCTCCAACAAAATCTAACTAGTCCATGAACAGATGCAGAACAACCTACAACCACCAAATGCAATCGATACTGCCACTCCATAATTTTTACTTCGACAATAACTCAAATCTAACAGCATGATAATTCTAATTCTGGATATTCATGGATGATCTCCACATCAATTTTAACCCTAACTAGGAATGGTGGAGATATCCAAGAACATCCATGTTTAGACAAAGATAAAATAAATAAAATTCTTATAGGAATCAAGTAACAATAGAGAAACTAGAGTAGCATGAGAAAATACCCTATAAATTATAATTCATCTGAAAAACCCTCCAAAAACATTAACATCCTGCTACGAACAATAGAACAACTAGAATAGCATGAGAGATTCATCTAAAAAGCCTTCCATGGGCATTAGCATCCAGTTAATAAGTTCTCTTTTCTTATCTAAAAATTATGTATAAAAATAACATGTAGACCTCTACACTATATATAAAATGCTGAAAGGGGGGATATCTAGAATTTCAAAGCAATACAAAAAGTTAATATTGGGTAACAAAGCATTAAAAATAATTAACAACAATTCATAGAGCAAAAACAAAATAAGCAATAGTAAGAAACCAACTTGCCAGTCATATATCTAAACATTGAAAAAGTTATCGAGTAAGCTAGTGCATATATTCTAATTGATATTCTTCTTCCTTTGGTTTTGTCAACAGAGAGAGATGAAGACAACCTTCTTGAAAAAGACAGCAAAATATAAAAATAACAGGAAATCCAACTAATGTAATTGGTAAAGTATAAAAAGTGGTGGCCTATAATGACACTAGAATGAATACCTAGAACCAGAATGCTTCAGAATGTAAACTGTAATGTTATTGCCAAAAAAAAAAAAAAACAACAATTGACAATATGAACATTGACAATATGGCATTTCTTGATGGAGCAAAAGCTAGCAAAATATTTTTTTCTTCAAAATTTCTATTGCAGTACTAGCTTTCACAAATTATGCTAAAATAGTGAGTAGTGACTCTATGGTCTTTTACAAGAAAGGAATATGTTAATCTCTCCATACATAATCCAAATTTGTTAGATGATCTCAACTAAGTCCCATCGATAGACAAACATTCTCAAACAAGATGGAGAAGAATGATGACAGTATGTCTTCACTAATAGGCTGGTAGAATTCTCTTTAGCATCTGTTAAGCAGCAGCTGAAGCAAATCAACTTAGGAATCATGTTTCTATAATCATGTACATGTTATCAAATTTCAAACTCCAATTAGCTTATTTTTAAAAGGGTGCGACTTTCATCAACTTTGTATGACCACATAATAAATACCTCTACAGATCTTTATTATAGGATTTGTCTTCATAGAATTTTTTAACTCAAATGATATATTGTCACTTGATTTCTTTTTTAAACTCAACAGGTAGCTTTACTGTTGCCTGTTCATTAGTTTCATCTAAAACTTCAGCAGTGACAATTGACGTCTAGAACTATTAAAGCTTTACACATGATCAGAAATGTAAAAGCCAAAAGAATGAAAACAATAGTCTGAGGATTTTGCACAAACATATGGCAAGGTTACCATCTGAAGGTAAAATAGTGCAACAGCTATAATTCTAAAAAGCTAACAATCAATTCTCTAAAACCTGCAATGTGACAAACCGTTTGCATCAGCTTTATGAGAAATAAAAAAAGGTAAGAACGATTGCAGTTTCGAAACATGCAATCCTTGTGTCTAAGGTTGCAGAACTTCCTCATGAGAAGCAGTGATGCTTGTATAATTAAAAATGAACTTGATGCTACCAACAACGTGGTTACTCAACACATTAATTTTCTTTTTGTCTGCAAAATATGATCTTTGGAACCAGTTTATGACAGCTTAGCCAAGAATTGAAGATTTAATCCACTCCATATAACAAATTACTAAATTTCACGAAGGAACTCAGATGTGCAAACCACAAAGAAATTTAGTTTCAAGGAAGTATCAAGGGTATCAAGGAGAAAGTT